CTAAGGCATCTTTGACAGCTTTCGTGACTTCACCAGGTTTAGAATTCCAAGTTCCCAAGCCAAATATCGGAAATTCCTGTCCATTATTAAATGTAATTTTTGGTACTTTGCTAGCTATATAAAAAATACATTTATAACACGACTTACAGCACCCATTTACTTCGTATCAATTAAAGAGGAAATAACGTATTCCTGTGCTGTTTCTGAATATAGAGTAAGGCTGGACTAACAGGATTCTGAGAATATATTATTTTGAATGATGTATTTCGTTGTCACAATTTTCATCACCTTTAGAATTATTTGACACTTGAATAATTATTATAGTAAGGTAGTATTATAAAGGTGATATTATCAAAGTTTTGTGAAATATTTAAGTACAGTCGTGTGCATTGGAACAGAGACCCATACCCGACATATATTGTATTTATATATTTTTTTCTGGTTTACCTGAGGATATGAACCCGTGTGTGGTGCCGCCTTGCACAACCTGCTAAGCCTGGCAATGGACTGTACTCTTCGTACACACGAAAGTCAGACCTTGCTGACTCTCTATAAACACTAATATATGATATTATTTTAAGCTTTTCAGTATCCAAATACAGGGGTTTAATATACATTATTAAAATAAGTGTACAGGGTAACAATTTGAATAATATTACATAATAATCTATAGGGTTTCGGGTGTCCCAATATTCCGTGGACATAGCACTACTACGTAGTTTTGGAATCAAAATAAGTTCATTGGACACAATTAACCTCTATACAAAAGTGTTCGATTTGTCCGTTTAAGGGCATCAAAATTTAAAAAAATAAACAAAAAAAATGTTCACTAAAGAATGCAAGGACGTGTAACGCGCAGATACGTGCTGGAGCAAAATTTGTAATGTTATACGCCATTTTTTTGGTTTTATAGAGGATGTAAAAAGAGGAAATAAAGTTTGTAATAGTTTGTTGAATTGTTGATAACTTTTTATAAGTTTAATAATAGTAATTTGTTCAGCTTTGAAGTAGAAAAGCCGGAACGATAAGGGACAGCCAGGAATTCATAGATAAATAAAGAGTTAATTTTCTGCACTACAGCTTTTTATAGTTTTCTTTGAATTTGAATTTGAGAATTATTTTTCTGATTTTATACTATGATATTATGGCCTAACATATTGTACATAACGGTCTATACCTTTTTCGAAAATTTTAATACGTTTTCTATGAAATGAAGATCGCTGTCAATTTATATGTAAAATTATGTAGGGAATGTCATCGATCTTCAATTACAAGTCAACTGGACGCCGTTTTCTTTTCGATTATACGGTGGTTAATTGGCATGATACACCTAAAGAAGCAGCATCCACGATAGGCGTAGGCAAAACATTATTTATCAAAAATATAAATAAATAAAGATAACTAAATAAGTCTAATAAGTGTAACAGTAAGTAATAAATCAAATTTTGTAACCGTCCGAAAATAAAATATTTGTGAGACAATTGCTAACTAGATTATTAACGCATAATATAAAAAGTATGCACGGTTGCGTTTTCTTACAAGAGACAAAAAATATTAAATAGTACAAGTAGTAGGAGAAACATTTTACGACAAAAGAGTCGTTAGTGGAGTTGGTGAATATTTATGCTACAATTTCTATATGGGTAGGAGTAGTTTTCACAAGAAAAGAATGGGATGGCAACCTAGTAATGAATACTCAAGAGGTAGCAGTCTATACAGATGCTTTCGTGACTTCAGAAGGCACAGGTATAGCCATCTTCTCAGAGGAACTAGACATCCGGCGATCTTTAAGGCTAGACCACACCGTGAGGACTGCGCTTTAGCTCGAAAACTGCGGCAATTGGTAGATAGCAAAAAGACAAAACAACTACTAGAGCACAAAAAGAACCTAGTACGCATAATTGTAGGTGTGGTCATTGGAAACTGTCCGACGGGGGTAACCTTCGTGACATGGAAGATTTTCAACGACGAATACTGCACAGAACACGAAAAAGAAGAAGAATTCCTCAGGGAACATGTGTCGGGCGTAGGAAAACAAACGTTTTTTAAACTTTGCGGCATGGTTTTTTGGAGGGACTAGAAAAAGCAGTAGAAGCCAACATCAGCGACATCGGGAATTTTGCAAAGAGCTGGAAGTGCTTTAACGCAAAGAAATTCAGAGGTACCGCAATGGGCCCAAGGCCTCCGAGTGAGGGATAAAACAGGATCCCAAATCTCAGCAATCTAACCTAACCTATGGGGTAGTTTTTATCGTTCCCGTACTTTAACTGTTTTTTTGTGGAAGTCAAATGTTAAAGCTTACTAAAACACAGACACCCTTAATCTAATTCAAATCGATATATCTGTTGTTAAAATATCTTGAAAAATGTGTTTATTTTTTAAAGTTTAATGCCCTCTAACGGACCAACGAAGCACTTTTGTTTACGAAGAAATATTGTGTCCAATGAACTTATTTTGATTCTAATAATACGTAGTAGTTCTATGTCCACGGAATATGAGAACACCCTGTATAATGACTCAGGGAAGATTTCGACAGACGACATCCAAAATGAACGAAAATTCAATTTACCCTTGAGGTAACTGTCACTATCAAAGATCCTCTAGATGAACAGACCAGACGTATTGTGTTCAGGAAACAGTACCAATTGATAATAAACAATATTGTTTTGATTTGTGAAAAGAGTTCTGTGTTTTTTTTCGTCAAAATTATTGTGAACGTTCTGTATAAAGTTGTAAAAGAAATATATATTAGTATTTTATAAGTATGTAACATCTATTAATTCAATATCTAAAAAATATAGTTTTCCATAAAATATTAAAAAAAACTGAATATATAAATTAATTTTATTCCATCAAGATGAAACCTAGAAACCTACTTTTCAAAGAATTCGGTTTCAATTTAATTCATAAAGTTATATAATTCGGCGTTTACACTAGGAATAAATTACTTTATAATTATGCGAAATAAGTATCTTACAATCTTGCGTGAAATGACAACAGCATAACTGAGTAGTTGCGTGGGCTGCTTTCCTTTAATGTAATTTGAGCTTGTGTTTTTCGAACAAATTTTATTTTACTTTTTTTATGGTTAATTGATTAATTTTTTTACAAGCATGTAGACAAGAAGTCAAAATTATATCCACAAATGTTTATCTCTTCGAAAAACTTAAAACACTTTAAGGAGAGTTTATTATTCTTTAGGTTATGCCAAAAACAATTACCTATAAGAGGAGGAAACTTGTGTCTACAAAATTTGTGTCTAACTACAATATCTAGATCGGAGATTTTTTGCACATCATTGTTTCACAGCGAGATCTATTGATTAAAAATATTTTCAATATGGCGGCACGTCCGGAAATACCGGAAGTTCATAGGAACGTTCTTATTTTAAATGGGTGCCACAATACAAAGGAAGCTAAATAAAATCAAGAAAAATATAGGCTTTCAAACTAAATCTTAAATAACTTAAAAATTATTTATTTTAGGTATAGGAAGATGTATATTCAAAAAGAGTACCAAATTGGAAAACATTTTTACTAGTGAAATAAAAAAAGTGGGTTTCCATTTGAAATAAATGATTTATGAATTTTCAATGGCTCAATTCCATGACAGCTACCGCCATTATTATATGACATTTGAACAATTTAATTTTTGAAATAGCCACATGTCTTCCCCTTTTATCACAGCGGCTCACAGTGGGGTATTTGACACTGATAGTTGATCGAAATTTTATGTAGACCTTATATAAACTATTGCTATTTTCAATTAAACAGGAAATAATATGAACAAAATAAAGGATAATTCGTCGATTCTAAAAAAAGAAAGAAAAATCACTGTTCCAGTGTTTCCATGGTCAATGCCAGTAGTAATATCGCAACTACTACTACTAATGCTACGACTGATCCGCGAGCAATGCCCATACCACTAAAGTCGCTACTAATGCCAAATTGTGCTATACTGCTAATGGCACTAATGCGATCGCTTTGTACACAACAATGCCATCGCGGTTTACACCTCGCATTAGTATATCACTGATTGGCAAATTAGAGGAAACCAAGAATGTTTTTCTCATTTTATCAGCAAAATCGCAAAAAGTCGCAGTATTTTATTTTACTGTATGAAAGCCCAATGTTTACTAAGTAAAACGTATATAGACAATATGCTGAATTCTTCGAAATGCGCAACTAAATCTCTAAGTAGAATAAAAATGTCACAAATTTAATCAAATTTTCTGAACGCCTAACTTTTAGTTGCAAAAATCGTTAGTATAGAGAATATCAAAATAAATAATACGTTTTTGTAGAATACATACCTGCAGCTTGCTGAGCCATTTTCAATCAAAACGATAATATAAACGTAAAAAGAGCACAAGAACAACAACAATTTATAATTTTAAACATAAAATTTAGCCATTTACCTCTTATCTGTGAGAAGTAACCACTTTGACGTTTCGTTGAAACAAATGAATGCAACTAAACACACCCATAGCAACGCCATTAATGAGATGATTTAACTTATCATTTATCTTTTTTTGGGAAATCTTAAACACATTTGCTTTTTCGAATTTCGATCACCTTTTTCATGCTAATACCCCACCGTGCGGCTGTGGTAAGCATTAAATTTGAATTTTAGGATATACACATTTTTTTGATTGGTAATTTTTTTCGTTCAAAAATGGTTAATGTTAGGTATAGAGTGTGTAACATCAATATTAAACCCATTTAAAATAAGAAAGTTGCTGTCAAATTCCGGTATTTCCGGAAGTGCCGGTATATTGAAAATATTTTTAATGGATCTCGATGTAAAACAATGATATGCAAAAAATATCTGATCTAGATATTGTGGTTCTCTAGAAACCTCGAATGCACGCTTAGCCTGGGACACCCTGTATATTTAATATGAATTTGGCTAGTTTTGTATTCATCCTTACCATATTAGATTTATTATTGTCCTTCCTCATATCATAGAAAACATAATTTACATTATTCGCACGAACTCACCTTGATTGTTATGATACATCCTGATAACGCAAGAATGTTACAAAGCATGTGGTAAGAGTCCATCAGCAGCGTTAGGGCATGAGTAAGGTGACTAACCACAAGTTCAGTTATAAAAAATACTACGGTTAAGGTCAGAACTATGTAGAGTTGTACCGGCTGGAACTTTGCGACCCATTCCTTGACCGCCATTTCCAAGTTTTTTGACTACCTGAAAATACGAATAAATATCATGAATTAAACAGAACGGAAAGTGTACAGTTTGAAAGAAATTGAAATATTGTTTAAATACCATTGCAATAGTAAGAAGTGCATTTAGGTAATGTTTTTAATTTACTTGTTATTTTTTTTCCTGTATACAGGGTGGTCCGAATTGTATTCGGGAAACTTCGGCAGCATATTTTGCAGATAAAATAGGTAAACAAATTCGTACAAATTTTTGTCCTTAAATGCTTAGCTTCGGAGATACAGGGTGTAGAAATTTCATTTTTATTTCGTTTTTTTCCAAATAATTTCTGATAGTAGATATATGGATAAAAATTGTTTTCTAGGTGTTTTTTTGACATAAGAAATTTGATTTTGATGTCGATAAGATTCCTACTTGTAGAGGGCACCACTTACATGTAGATATTATTTTAACTGTTTTGAAAAGTAATAATTCTCGTCCATACTTGTACAAAAAGTACTAACTAAAAAATATACATTATCGTAATTTTTTACGTAAAACATTTCTCAGTAAAATTCGCTAAAAGTAATAATTCTCAAGATATTTAGAATCGAAACAGTAAATACATGCTAGAAGAAATAAACATGTGGAGTTATGATGATGGTTATTAGATTCTTCTTCTTCTTCGTCTTCTTTTAGAAGGCGTATCGCCTGTTTAGTTCCGGTTTCCTCCTCGTCTAAGCAACTCTTGCGAGGTTGACTGCCAACTGTCTTGCCAACGTTTAGGTGGTCGTCCAGTAGGTCTTCTGCCATTGGGTTCGTGTTGCGAATTATTATGGCCATTCTGTCGGGGACCATTCTATTGACATGCTGGTTCCATTCTCTTCTTCTCTGCCTTATCCATCTGACAACGTCGTTTGTTTGGCACTTTTCTCTTATGTCTATATTTCTCTGTCTGTCCCTCAATGTGTATCGAGTTATCATTCTTAAGGTCTTCATTTCAGTAGTTCGTAGGATTCTCTTTGTTACTGATGTTTCAGCTCTGGTTTCCGCACCATATGTCATCACTGGTCGTATGCAGGTTTTATATATTCTTGACTTACATTCTGTACTCAAATGTTTGTTTTTCCATATGGGATATTTAAGATGTCCTGATATTGCGGCAGCTTTATTGACTTGTTTCCTTACTTCTTCTTCCAGGAATCCTGAGCTTGTAATTTTGTATCCGAGGTATTCGAATGACATTATCTGATCAATAGTTTTGTTTTTTATTACCAATTTGCACCGTAGAGGCTCCTTTGTAATGGTCATGCATTTGGTCTTATTTGTGGAAATTTGCATGTTAAGTTTTTCTGCCTGTCTGTTAAAAGCTTGTAGCATTTTTTGGAGGTCGTCCTCTGACTCTGCAATAAGTACTGCGTCATCGGCATAGCATAATATGTTTACTTTATGCATTCCCATTCGATATCCTAATCCAGTATTCTTGACGGTTTTTATTACTTGATACATGATTGTGTTGAATAACAGAGGGCTGAGACTGTCGCCTTGGCGAATACCAGTTGTAGTTCGAAGATGCTGCGTTAAGGTAAAGTTTGTTCTTATTTGGGTTATTGTGTTTGTGTTTAAGTCCTTGATAAGTTCTGTGAGTTCTTTCAGGACATTACTGCTTTCCAAGATGGTGATGATGTCTTTTAGATTGTGGTTATTAGATTGAAGTGGTAAATTAGGGAAAATTTTATTTTTTTTTAATTTTTATACGAAAAAATTATGATAAAACAGTTTCTGTTAAATATTTGGATCAAAACCATTTCGAATTTATTTAGAACTGCCTGTTCTCCGCCAATTTTCCCACGGTTTAATTTCTTAATCTCTGATATTATCATAGTTACGGCCGGTAAACCATTGAGTAAAAACGTAATTTATTTTAACCTTCTAACCTTTACGGCACTAAAAGGGATGCGAATACAGAAAAAATCCGGTGGCTCTCAAAATTTTTTCAAAAAAAAATCATTTTTTTTAAATTTTCAAAGTTAAACTTAAATAACTCTGTTATTTTGGACTCATCTGAAAAATGATAAAGTGAAAATATGTTTTTTTTATCGAGATCTAAAAGCTCTGAAAATATTTGCACTTATTTAAGACTCACCCTGTATAATAATTTATGTGATGACATGTATAGTGAATATTTCGATTCTAAACATCTCGAGAACCATTGCTCGTGGCCATTTTTACCAAGAGACCTTTTTTACGTAAAAAATGGCGGAAATGTAACTTTTTTTAATTCAGTAGCTTAATAGAGGTATGGACGAAAAGTTATTACTCTTCAAAGCAGTTAAAAATATGTAGGCGGCGCTTTCTACAAGTAGGAGTCAGAGTGGCACCAAGATCAAATTTTTCTATATATAAAAAATCATATCAAAAAACTCCCAGATGCTAATTTTCATCCAAATATCGAAGTTAGTTCAGAAAAAATCGTAATAAAAATTAAATTTCTACACCCTGTATTAATAGACAAACTAATTCTCCCCTACTTATTCTTAGTTGAACGACGGACGTTAAGGTAATTAGGTAGATTTAAAAAGCAATCAAACACAAAGTTCTAGATAAAAAATTATTAAATTATTATTATTAATAAAGAATAATCAATAATTCAGCAAATTTTAGATACTATGGGCTCCTTACTTTCAAGTAAAGAATAGCTAAGACATTTCGGTCTTAACAGGTTATAGACCAAGAATTTTTTACGTTAAAATCGGATATATTAGACACTTGAATGATATATTTTAATGTATCATATAATATGTCCCTTTTTTTTAGATTTAAGAGGTGAAGGGGGAAACCTGCAACAGGTACTCGCCTGGTAAAACCTCCTATGTGCCAGACGAGTTATGTGGGATTTTTACCTCACTAAAACCTAACCTACACCTCTGTCCTCTCTCCAGGAACGTTCTTTCCCCGGTGGCACTCTTTGTAAATACTACTTCGCCGGGGCGTTCTTATTTGGTGTTACTGCTGTCTATTCTTCGGAGGTGGTGCGAAGATCCTTGAGTATGGTCTCAGCATACTCCGCTACCTTGTTCCAAGCCGATTGAATCTTCAGCATGCAGTCCACTATATTTTCTGGGCTGATGGACAAGCCTAAATTTCTCTCGAGTTCAGTCCTTATCTCCTCGTATAGAGGGCATCGGAAGAACACGTGCTCCGCATCTTCGGTCACTACGCGACAATGGTGACTCACTTCCCTTGAATCTGTGGAAGTATGCTCGAAAGCATCCATGCCCAGTCAAGAGTTGGGTGATGTCCAACCTCCCCGTGCACACGGGTGATCCATTTAGTGACATCCGGGATTAGTCGATGTGTACCACCGACCTTTCGTCGAGCTGTCCCATCTCACTTACCAGAGACCATGACTTTCAGGCCTCTCTTATTCACATAAGACCTGTCGCTGCTCGGCTTTCTTCTTACGGTACTGTCGCTGGCGTTCTCCCGCCAAGATGTCGATAGGCAGGCATGATGACACTACACTCACTGCATCCTGTGATACCGTCCGGTATGCTGACGCCACTCTGATCGCTGAGAGTCGGTGGACTGATGTCATTGTCCTGCGATATGTTTTTAGTTCCAGCGATTTTGACCACACCGGTGCCCCGTATAGCAGGACGGATTTAACTACTGTTGCAAGTAATCGTCTCCGGGATTGCCTGGGGCCTCCGATTTTGGGCATTATCCGTGAGAGTGCGCCCTGAACTTCTCCCGCCTTCTTGCTGACGCTGGAGATATGCTCCTTGTAGCTGAGCCTCTCATCCAAGATCACTCCAAGGTACCGGATATGGGGTTGCGACATGATATCATGGTCGCCTACTCTGATGGTGATGGTCTCCATTTTCTTCCTCACTAGGAGTGTTTCAGTTTTATGCTCCGCCAGCGACAGGTCTGCCGATTGCATCCACTGTCTTATCCTCCTGATGGTTATGGAGAATGCAGCTTCCAGCTCCTCCAAGTATTTCGCCACAAGGACAACCGCCACGTCGTCCGCGAAAGCCACGAGTATTGTGTTGGCCGGTAATTCAAGGTGAAGCAGACCGTCGTACATAATATTCCACAAGAGTGGCCCCAGGACAGAGCCTTGAGGTACCCCTCCCGTGACCCCATGCACCGCTGCTCCCTGCTCCGTCTCGTAAAGCAGAAGTCGATCGCTGAAATATGATCTGACCATCCTTCGTAGGTAGTAGGGTACACCCATGTGCTCGAGAGCCTCCAAAATGCGATCCCAGCGGGCTGAGTTGAACGCGTTCTTGATGTCCAAGGTGACAATGAGGCAGTACTTTTTGGAACCGCCTTTCCATCTCTTTCCTGAGATGGCTTCCTTTGCGATGTTCGTGACGAGTTCCAGTGCGTCGATGGTCGATCTCCCCTTCCTGAATCCGAATTGGAATTCAGAAAGTTGAGGATTGATGTATTGCTCCAATCTGTCGGCCACTATCCGCTCCAAGTTTTTCCCCTCTGAATCCAGCATGCAAAGTGGACGAAAAGATGCTGGGTCGTCCGGTGGTTTCTTCCCTTTTGGGAGAAGAACCAGTCGTTGTTGCTTCCATCGGGTCGAATTGGACAGACTATACCCTTGCATGGGGTTAAAGTACTATTTTATCTACTATTTTTGATAGATATAAGGCAATTTTAACAGTTGCCATGGAAAAAAATATATTTTTATTAAAAATACAGAAAAATGGTAATAAATATACTAGTAGACTTTTTTCCAATTTATAATTGCTTTGTGGACTGTTTTTACAAATAGAATTTATTACTTAACAACACACTTTGATAAAATCTGTTTGCTTTTGTATGTTATCTGCCATTATACAATACTACAATTTTTATTGAGCCTAGAATGATTTTTTGTAGTTATTGGTTTATTGTTTTTGAACAGAAACAAAAAGTTTTGTTCTAAAACAATACTAATAATAATCGAAGTCATATTCAGAATTGCAATGTTACTTCAATACATATCTTAATGTCATAAATTATATTAAGTATATTGCGAAATA